CACCACTTCTGGCTTTTTTCTTTTCGCTTATGTGGTACTGAGGAATCGAACCCAGGGCCTCATGCATGCAAGGCAAGCGCTCTACCACTGAGCCACCTTCCCAGCCCTGTTGTTGCTTTTTCTTTTATTGAGGTGAAATTCATGTAACATAAAGTGACACCATTTGAAAGTGTACAGCTTAGTGTGTTTATGTGTTTTAGTGTACTCAGCATTTGTGCAGCTTTACCTCTTTCTACTTTCAGAACTCTTTTCATCCCACTGAGAAGTACCCTGTACTCACTCAGAAATCACTCTGCGGGCAGTGCCTTCCTAGTAACCTGTAATCTGCCTCTTTCTCTGCATTTGCCTATTCTGGGTGTACCATAAAAAAAGAGTTGCCCAACATGACCTTTTTGTGTTTCATTCACTCAGCATAATGCTTTCAATATTCCTCCAAGCTGTGGCACAAATCTGGACCTCTTTGGTTCTTGTAGCTGAGTCATAGTTCATAGTACATGTCGGCCACAGTGGTGAGCCACGTATCAGTTAGTGGGTATTCAAGCTGCTATGAATAATGCTGCTCAAAAAGCAGCCCAAGTCCCCTATAGCTGGGTCATACTGATGCCATTGTGAGGCACCTGTTTCTCCACATTCACATCACTGTTTGGATGATGGCCATCCTAGTGAACAGGAAGTGGTAGCTCATTGTGGATTTAAATTGCATTGGTGAATGATTAGTGATATTGAATGTATTTCATGCACTCATTGGCCATTTGCATATCTGAAATAAAAAGAAACTATTCTCGTCTTTTGCCTTTTTACTCAGTACTGAGGTTTGGACTCAGGGCTTTGCACTTACCAAGCAGGAGCTCTACCACTTGAGCTATACCTCCAGCCATTTTTGCTTTTGTTATTTTTTAAAATAGAGTCTATCTTTTTGCCTTTGCTGCATTGGACCTTGTTCCTCCTATTTATGCTTCCTATCGTTGGGATGACAGTCATATGCCACCATGCCCAACCATTTATTATATGAGATGGAGTTTGATGTACGTTTTACCCAGGAAAGCTGGCCTTGAACAATGATCTCCTAATCTAAGCCTCCAGAATTGTTAGGATTATGGTGGGAGCCACCTTGCTCACCCCTTTGACTGCTTTTATTGTTACTGTTTGGCAGTTCTGGGGTTTGAACTGAGGGCCTTGTGCTGGGTAGGCAAGCTCTGCCACTTGAATCATGCCTCCAGCCCTTTTTTTGCTCAGAAGTAGGGTCTTTTTATTGAAAAGCTAAGAGCTCAAAGCCCTAAGTTCAAGACTCAGTACCAGCACAAAAATAAAAGAGAGAGAAAATAGATAAATTAGGCTGCATAAAAATTAGAAACTTTGTATGGCATCAAAGTGTATTATGACCAACATAGAAGTCACCCACAAAATGGGAGAAGATATCCATAAGTGACATCTGATAAAAGCTTAATATCCAGAATACATAAAGAACTCTTAGAAGTTAACCAAAAAAAAAAAAAGACAACCTCATTAAAAACCTGGCAGAGGGCCAGGTAGGGTGGTGGCTCACAACTGTAATACCAGCTACTTTAGAGGCAGAGATTAAGAGTGCCATAGCTGGAGCATAAGCAAAAATTTAGTGAGACCCCCTTGTCCCCATCTCAATCAATCAATCAATCAATAAGCCAGGCCTAGTGGTGTGTGCCAGCCATCCCAGCTAAGCAGGAAGTGTCAGGTAGAAGGATTTTGGCCTAAGGCAGGACTTGGATAGCCCACCGGAAAGGGTACCTCCCCCACCCCCCCTTTGTTAGGAAAAGCTTGGCTTGAAGTAGTAAAGTGCCAACTGGAAAAAAAAAAATAGGTTTCCTTGGGAATACTGGTTCTTCCCTTCCTGACTTGTCATTTCCTATGTTCGGCCTGTTTAGGTGGTGGACATCATGAGGGTCAATGTGGATAAGGTGCTAGAGAGAGACCAGAAGCTCTCTGAGCTAGACGACCGTGCAGACGCCCTGCAGGCTGGAGCTTCTCAATTCGAAACAAGTGCTGCCAAGTTGAAGAGGAAGTACTGGTGGAAGAATTGCAAGGTGATTCTCCTGTGGCGCCTGCACCCTGGGCCCCCGTACCCAGAGGGGCCGTGGAGCTTCCACATACTGGATGTTTCACGAATCGAGGAGGTGGTTCAGCTTCCTGCATGGGGACACTTGGGCCGGCACTGAGGGCGCCCCACTTTCTGGCCCACCACTAAGAATCCCCATGTTTTGATCACAAGTGGCATGTACAGCAGGAATATCCCAGACCAATCTCCGACCGCTGCCCCTTCTCAACCCAGACCTCTGCAGTGCCCGGAACAGATGGATAGGAAGACTGCCATTGATGCTGTTGCAGGCTGTCCTGGGAACAGCTCACAGTTAAGGAAAGCACATGCTAGAAAGTTCCATTGTGCCCTGGCCCCAGTGGATTCTGTAGTTAGACAGTCAGTGTTTCGGGTTCAGATTCCAGTTAGCCTGCCTTCACAAATAAACTCTGAGACACATGGGACCAGCTCAGCAGCCCTCCTGGTGTGGGAAGCGAGTACACATGCAAGCACCTCTCCAGGGCCTCAGATCACTGGGACACACCTAGGAAACCCCTAAAAGCCTTTAGGCCTTGATAGAATTTATTCCAGTAGGTAGCGCACCTCGGTTTCTCCTGAGGTGACTAGAGTAGTAGATGCCCTTTAGTAAGACATCTGTCTCACACGGTGGCTCTCGTTCTATTTCAGATGTGGGCGATAGGGATTGGCGTCCTGGTGATCATCATCATCATCATCATTGGTGAGTCACTGTGTGTGCATAGATGAGCATGTGTGCAAGAACCAAGTATGAAAGTTCTACCACGAAGGGGGGTGGTTATTTTGGTCAGTTATGGGACTTGAACTCAGGGCCTGAACCCTGTCCCTGAGCTTTTTTGCTCAAGGCTAGCATAGCACTCCACCACTCCACTCTACCAGCTCCACTTCTGGCTTTCTGGTAGTTAATTGGACATATGAGTCTTTTGGACTTTCCTGCCCAGCCTGGCTTTAAACCACGATCCTCAGATCTCAGCCTCCTGAGTAGCTAAGATTACAGGCATGAGCCACTGGTACCCACCTCCCTATTCTTGTTTGGCAACTGTTTTACAAACTTGATGGGTTTTATTTATTTCTTGGAGAGGACAGGGCTGATGTCAAGACAGGCTCTTGTTATAAAGCCTAGGTGATGCACAAACTCACTATCCTCCCACCTCTACCTCCTGTGCTGGGATTACAGGTGTGTACCACCACACCCAACTAGAATACTTGAATGTTGTATTGTAAATGTCTAACATGTTTATATGAACATAAATCCTTGAGATGATGGAATTTCATATGTGGTAACTAGCCAGTTTTCCTCTCTGAATATTTTTCCGTTTGATTTCTGGCCTTTGCACTCTCAATTGGCTTGCCAGCTCTCAGCTGACACACTACCACTTGACTCACACCTCCAGCCTTGTTTTTTTTTGTTGTTGTTTTTGTTCTGTTTTGTTTTTACTGATTAATTGGAGATGGGTTGACTTGAACTTGTCTTCTCAGGCTGGCTTTAAGCCATGATCCTATAGATCTCAGCCTCCCAAGTAGCTAGGATTATAGGCCTGAGCCAACTCTGAATGATTTCGTTGTTTTTGTTAATATTTTATTTAATGACTTTGTTGTTGTTATGTGGTATTTTTGGAATTGAACCCAGGGCCTCATTCATGCTTGGCAAACACTCTACCACTAAGCCACAATCCCAGTCCTTCTGTTTTTAATATCTCTTATTCGTGTGTGTATGTGTGTGTGTGTGTGTGTGTGTGTGTGTATGTGTGTGTGTGTACTGAGGATTAAATTCAGGATCTCAAGCTTGCCAGACAGAGGTGCTCTACCACTTGAGCCAGGCCCTCAGCACTTTTTTTTGGGAGGGGTCCGGTCATGGGGCCTGAACTCTGGGCCTGGGTGCTGTCCCTCAGCTCTTTTAGCTCAAGGCTAGCGCTCTACCACTTGAGCCACAGCGCCATTTCCAGCTTTTTTCTTTTTGCTTATGTGGTGCTGAGGAATTGAACCCAGGGCCTCATGCATGCAAGGCAAGC